AAGCATTAGCTAGGGTGCGTCATGCGCCAGGTACTTAGGAGCTGGGTGCGGGCAAGGTGGTGGCAAGCCGTTAACCCACCTGTCACATCGCTACAACAAGTCGTAGTGTATTATTGGCCCGACAAGCCTTCGTTTTACCCCACTCCACTTTCACGGCTGGCGGCAACAGTACACTGCTGCCCCTCGTTCTAAAGTACCCAAACCAATCCACTCCAATTGACGGCACCACACAACACACATCAATGCGCAAGTAGTTAGTAGTTTAGCTAGTATATACTTGGAGCGACGGCACGAAGCGGTCCTCGGTGGGGACTGCCACGGCCCATGTGTCGCCTTCGGTGTACGCAACGAGCACTTCCTTCGAGGGATCGTTCTTGGTCGAGAACTTCTTGGTGCCGTCCAACCAGATAGGCGATTTGTTCTTGGTTCCGTTCGAGTGCACCGTGAACCAGTACGTGGTGGCGGGTTCAAGAACAAAAGGGGACGGTGGGAACACTTGGAACGTGACACGTTTGGCGATCTTTACGATGGGGATATGCTCGAGGTCAGAATTGGTGCAGTGGGGCAAACCTAGAAGGAAACTCGGGAATTTATATTGGTTTAAAAGACGGAGCTATAGGAGATGAGTGTATAAATGGAAGGGATTGGTTACCGTTGGCGGAAGGGCACAATTCAGCTTGCAACCACAGCGACCCGTCGTCGGGAATGTCGAGCCTGCCGAGGGTAAAGTTGACATACTCAAGGGTCAATCCAGCGGTGCCACAACGCCCTGGTGACGGGAATTGAACAGCCACGGATTGGCCACTGGAGATGGGGGAGCCCTTGGCCCACTTATCCACGGGCGCGAGGCTGTCAAACACCACCTCGACTTGAGACGCGGCGGCGGCGTGGACGAGAGCAGCAAGCAACTTCATGCCAATCAGTGAAAACGAAAAATAAAGAAGGGGCCGACATCGCCCTTTGGGTGTTTTATAAGGCAAGAAGAATTCAACGACTAGCCATACGATGACTATTTCTGGGTACTCCTGTTGAATGTTTCTGGGTACTGTACTGTACCTTGATCACGTTCAAAGAGTACTTTTTTTTCGTGTGGTTCTAACCGTCGGGGTACGACCACCATCTCTACACTTCCGTTATGGCACTTGTCTCATGTCAGTAGTTCAATGAAATATTGTGAGCAAGACGACCTGCTTTTCCAAATATTATTAGTTAACAGTTAACTGTAAACGCAATATAACAACAAAATACCTAAAAATACTGTTAACGTTATACATACTACATCTGCACCAATTTACTTGGGACATTTCTCATCTCAGTGAGCCCACATAATCATTTTCACCCGATTTTGAACGAAAAGTGTGAAAAACATTTTTTTCACATCTAACAGTAAATCAAATTCGTCAGCTCCAGTATTTTCAGAATAAAAATACAAAAGCAGTACTCCGGGAGTATAAAATAGTAGGGGACCTGAACCGTGTACTCAAGAAAAAATATCGAATTTCGAAGCATGGCACAGTTCTTCGATCCCTTGTTGTCCGGATGTAAATTATTGGCTTGTGTCCTAAGTATTCTGGAAAAAGTACATGTTCGAACTGTCCTAAGTATATTGGAGCAGAGAAAGTTCTAGTATTGATGCTTTGGAAAGGCTACTACCGGTCATGACCAAGAAATTCATATTTGACGCAGAACATCCCTTAATACTAATTTTTGAATGTCCGGACCAAAACAAAAAAGAGGTGTCTCAGGGTTATTTATGAGGCGTCCGAACTTGACGGGATCCTTGGACTTAAAATACAAGAAGGGTGTGGCCGATGCTGTAACTCGCCAAATTACGAAAGTTTTCAACTAACGTCAGCCTTGTTCAGCTGATGGGGAAAGTACAGAAAGGTCACAGGGTTGAATCCGGTAAAATTCTTCTTTGTTCACATCTACCAAGCCTTCAACAACAGCGTATCCGCCCATAAAATTGCGCGCATCGTAACGTACCAGAAGCGGAGGTCGCGTGTAAAATTTTACACAGCGGTGCGTTGGCGAGGAGTGAGCCCCAATCGTGCACGACACCGAACGTCGTATCGATTCATCTTGTTGGGAAAAGCCGCAGGTAGGCCGTACCGCTACATATTAATAGCTACATACCCGGACGAGGCCTGTTCTACGACGAAGTACTTTTACTTGGTATTTGTACTGATCACCAACTAACGTGTTGATGTTAGTACGTCTGGATACTCCATACTGCATGTATTTGTGTCTTCACGATGCACCCCGGTCGAGGTCACACTGTAATATTTTTCATGTGAAAAAATGGCCTCTGAAAACCTATACTAACATGTAAACGCATCAAAAATAGTGCAACATGCGCGACTACCGGCAAGCAATACTACTGTATTGCAGTCACCGAGGGAGTGGTTCGCCTATCGACCTTGCTCAACGTGCAACTATTATTTTATCCAATAATATCGTACCAAAAGTTTAACGACTTGTGATTGGATAATGAAAATATTTTCCCACCGGCGT